GCCCCCAGAGGAGCTGGAGGAGGACAAAGTGGTAGATATGATAAAAATCCATTGTGTACATGTATGAAATTCTCAAGGATAAATATAAACAATTTTTTAAAATAGAGTTCAGGGGTTGGAATGTCCTCAATAGAGCACTGTCTTAACATGCACAAAACCCTGGGTTCAATTCTTAGTATAAGCCAGGGGTTGGGCTACACGCCTGTAATTCCAGTACTTAGAAACAGAAGGATCAGGACTTTAAAATCATCCTCAGCTGCGTAATGAGTTCAAGGCTAGCCTGGGCTGGAGATCCTGTCTTTATTAAAAAAAAAAAAAAATTAAGGACCAGGCCTGGTGAGACAGATCTGTTACTCTGTTCACAAGAGGCCAAGGCAGGAAGCTTTCAAATTCAAGAATCACCTGGGCTACAATGTAAATTCAGAGTTCACCTGGGTAACTTTGTCTCAAGGTTTAAAAAGTACGAAAAGGGCTGGGGAACATATCCTCGTGGTAGAATGCTCCTCTGTTGTGATGAGGCCTTGAAACTAATCCCCAGCGAAACCTCCACGCACATACACATGCACATACACGATCACATGCACACACGACATAAAAAAAAATATTCCGAGGACATCTGCACACGGTGAAAGCTGAAACCCTGTAAAGTCCCTCTCCTCCCTGTGGCTTTCCAGCTCCACCTGCCTCCCCGGAGGAGGCAGCTTCCGTTGTTGGTTTCCTGTACATACCTTCAGGAGAAAAAAAAGAACGAAGTATGAAACTGTAAAATTTAATGCTATCTAAAGTTACACAAATATGTACGGTGATACGGCAGGGGTTTTTTGTTGTCGTTTTTTTTGAGACAGGGTTTCTCTGTGTAGCCTTGGCTATCCTGGAACTCCCCCTGTAGACCAGGCTGGCCTTGAACTCAGAGATCCACCTGCCTCGAGAGTGCTGGGATTAAAGGCATGTACCACCTCTGCTGGGCATTATGGCAGGCTTTTTAGGTTTACATTTTTAAAAATTATTTGTTTTATTTTTTTTGTGTTCGTGTACGTGTTCATAAACAGATGTGTCCCAACTGTACCTGGGTGTGTGAAGACCAAAAATGAACTTTGAATATCTTTCTCTACTGCCCTCCAATGATTTATTTATTTTTGGAGGCAGGGTTTTTTGTTTTGTTTTGTTTTGTTTTTTTGTTTTTTTGTTTTTTGTTTTTTTTCACTGAAGCCAGAGCTCACCACCATTTCATCTAGACTGGCTGGCCAGTGCGTGGCAGGGACTCACTTGTCTCCACCCTGCACCCCCACAACTGGGATTGTAGATGAGGGAACCCCCATAACTAGCTTTTACGTGGGTACTGAGGATCTGAACCGGGTCCTCATGCTTGTGTATCCGAGCACTTTCTTACACCAGCCATCTTCCCGGCCTGGTAGCAGGCTTTTCTTACAGCACCCTGTGTCTTGCTTCCTCGAGCACATGTCTTAACAGTCGCTTAGTGCTCCTCTCCACAGGCGTTCCGTATCTTAGTTCAGTGGCTCCCCACTCATAGACATGGACATTGTTTTTAGTCACTGCTGTGGGCAGTTCTCTGTGAGGTTATGCCCTAGAAGTAAAGCTTACTGTCCAAAGCTCTGTGTGCGTGAAAGCTGGGCTACATGATGCTTAGTTAGCGTCTATGAGGGTGCTTCAGTTAGTGCTCACCCTGGACAATAGGTGGGAGTCCTCCGTTTTGGGGACCATATGGGGAATCAAACATTTTGTTCACTGTCAGGCTGTTTTCCTAGAATCAATCTGTGTGCTTTAAGCAGCTGGACTGAATAGAAGTTGGCCAATAGGTTCCTAATGCTATCAAGCCCTCTTTAGGCCTACAGACGAGGGCTCCACTGACCCTGTTGGGGACAGAAGTACTGCAATGCAGCCAATACCCTGTGTCTGTCTAGTCCCCATCCTCTGTTTCAGAAAGAGCCAGCTGGAGAACAGGATACCCTACTCTCAGTTCAATGCCAAGCTGGCCTTAGTACACAGCTTTCTGTGGCCTGGCTCCCAGCTGTAAATGACTATTGTGGGTCCCTACTCCTCGGCACAAGGAAAGGGAGCAACAGAGAGGGAGATGGAGACAGAGAGAGAGGGCAAGCAAGCTAGGTGCTAAGAGAAATGCTGCCTTCATGACTGAGCCCTGGGCTCTTGTAAGCAGAGCCCCATCTGCTGCCCAGACTATTCTTGGAGACAGGTAGGAGTCTTCCTGGCATTTGAAAGCCAGCCCAAGGCCCTCAACCCCAGTCCAGTCCAGGCTTTTCATTCTACCCTTGCCATGGTCTGACCCCCTGTTCCAGGGAGTGGATATAGAACTGTGATCTGCCAACACAGCTCCTTGGTATCTAAATATGGTGAGAGGGGAGCTGTGCATTGGAGGTAGCAGAGAGAGCTCTAGACTAGAGGGTGTGCCATTAGCTCCTGTGCCCCCACTTGTCCTCCTGTAACCCTGACTCTGCCGGAAGGTTGGACTGGACCTAACAGGGGCACCTAACCTTTTGACATTATTACTTTAAGCGGTAATCTAAAGATGTGTAGGGCTGCATTCAGGTCATCATGGAACACTTGTGACCCACAGCTGTAATTGGACATGCCTGGAAGAACTCACAGCCCTCTTATTTAGGCCTGTAGTAGCCTCACGACCACCTTAAGCCATCTTCATCTGTAAGATGATAGGGGACCGAAATCCCAAGACTCCCAGCCCTAGCTAGTGACCCCAGTGGGCTGTGGGTTTGGGGCCCAGCTAGGCTGTGGTGGTGGTAGCCTCAGGCAGAGCTGTTCGGAGCCAAGATTGACTGTCCTAGGTCAAGAAAGAGCCCCATCTGGAGGCAAGGCCTCAGCAGCCTCTCCCTGAGCTCCTCCTCTCACCAGGCCTGGCGGGGCTGCAGGCTGTCCTGTGCTCCATCTCTGCTGTCAGGTGGCACTGTGAGTTTGGTGCATATGGAAGTGGCCAGTGTGGTTCTGTGCTCTGGCAGAAAACCAGGGAGAAGCCGCCTAGGAACAGCTGTTGTCTCCCATTCCCCACTTGGCTGGAGGCGAGCCTCCTAGGTCTGTCCTGCCAAGCTGTGTGGGATGAATGGGTGGAGGTACGGCCAGATGTGGGGCTTTAGTGCAGGGGCACAGGGGGACAGGCAGAGCCAGGGCACAGAGCGGGGCAGGGAGGCAAAGGCCAGGCTGTTGGTAGACACGTGGCAGGAGGGCTTCCAGAGTTATGGCAAGATCCGTTGTGCCCTGGTGTGTGCATGCCTGCTGTCAGCATAAACCTTCCAGTTTAGCCATGTATTTAGCGTCTTACAGAGAAAGCTGGTCTTCACCCAGGTCTCGTCTTGTAATACTTGCCCCAGGTGGCCCTCCAAGCTCAGCCCCAAAGACAACCCTGATGTTAATAACTGCAGGCAGCCTTTAAGTTCAGCTCCTGGCCTAGGCAGCACCATCTAAAAGCCAAGTCGCCACCCTCTCATCTTAGGAGATGGCCAGTCTCCCTGCCCCGCCTCTTCCTGCCCCCACCCCACTCTGCTTTCCACACAACAGCCAGAAAAACATGAAAGGAGAACACATGTCCCCTCTGCTTAGAGCCCTGCAGTGGCTCCTGTTCCAGACAGAGTAGAGCCTTAGCCCTTCCCTTGACATCTGCCTCGCCCCCTGTGCTCTCTGCATCCTTGTCCCACCATCTTCCTCACTCACCCTCTGATGCACCTCCATGCATGCTTACTCCACCAGAGTCTGTTTCTCTGGGTATCTTGTTCATGTTCTTTCTATTTCAGTCAGGCTTCAAGAGCCGTTGATTTTTAGGTTTTTTTTTTTTTTTTTTTTTTTTTTTGCGCAGCAGTGTCCCACTACATTCCCCAGGCTGGTTTTGAATCCCTGATCCAGCCGAGGAGCTGGGGCACTAGGTTGGGGCCCGCCACCCGAGTCAGCCAGCACCACTCTGTTTGAAATTCCCACCACCAAATTTTTACGACCCCTGTCTTCTTTCTTTTCCTCAAAATAATTGCCGGTGAACAAAGAGAATGCTTTCCGTTTTTTTTTTTTTTTTTAATTTTCTTCTTGTCTGCCTCCTTCCCCTAGCATCCAAGCAGGGACTTTTTTCGTTTTGTTCCCTGCCCACCACAGTGGGCAGCTTGAGGCAGAACTGGGTTTGTCTAGTAGAATGAGCTGAGTCACTGCTGCCCTGTGGCTGGACATGGCAGGGAGTGTGGACAGCTCAGGTAGATTGGCCCTCTAGCTCCCCGTGCGACCCTAGAGTAGGGCACGGTGTCCTCTGTGTTCCTTCTGGGCACCTAGCAGACTGTGGGGGCCACCAGCAGCCCTGGGCCTTTCAGTCTTACTTTGTTTGGGCTAGCATTCAATAGAACTGGGGACCCCCCCCAAGCCAGGGTACTTCCAAGTCCTGTTTCTCTTCCACCATCGTGTCTTCCCTGCGTAAGAGGAAGGAGTGTCTGGCAACCCCCTTTAGCCTCAGTCTACCCTCACCAGCCAGGAGTCCACTTCATGACACTGGTGCTCTAAGGACACTGAGTCAAATCCATTTGGAGAACTTTTTTCTTTTTCTTTCTTTCTTTCTTTCTTTCTTTCTTTCTTTCTTTCTTTCTTT